CTCGGCTAGGCTCCGATAGCTAAAGTTATCAACCTGGAGTTGTAGTTTGCCCATCACGAACGCGCCGTGTCAGCCATTTGCAACACAAAAAACATTGGGCTATGGCTCTACCTCTATTACTGGCACGCAATCTCCCAAGAGATTGAAGTGGCCCGCATGAAGATTTCCTATTTCGTTGTTCCAACCGGTCTTTGGTAGCAGCCTTCGTGCTATAAGTGAATAGTGCTCTGCCAGGGGAGATAATTTCCATCAGCCATCACACCTGAAACCTCAAACATTGGGTGAATGTGTTGATAATTTAAAAATCCTCAAGGCCCGATATTCACTAACACACCCCAATTTTCTTTTTCAATTTCAGACTTACTATATAATCCCCCCCCCCTTGTTCTTCCTCCTCATGCTCTCTTCCCTTCCTTCCACCCCTCTATCTTCATCTCTTTCACTCCCAACTTCCTCAAGATAATCATCCTTTTCAAGTACATAATCTTGAATCTGCATCTCTTCGCACATATCTTCTCTCGTTTGTCAATATCTCCTGCTTTCTTCGAGCGTGTGAACGCGTCTTCACTCTCTCTCGCATCTTCACAAAGTGAAATACATAACTTCACTAACTTACATATCCCCTTCTTTGTATCTTCAACATTCATCTCAAATCATCAAATTTTTCTCCTGAATACAAAAGAAAGGACGTTGCTCTAAGGAGCGTGACTTTCAAATGCTAGGATCAAAGATCCTCAAGCGCTGCAAGGCGCGTCTGAGCCTTGTCAGACAGCTCAGACAGCGTCGCAGTCTCACTAATAACAACGAATCCACAACACCCTCTGGATCCTCCGGATCGTCTCTTATGCAGTAAGTCCTTTACAGCTCTTGGGAGAAGATCCATCCAGGCTAATACTACGCAGAGTCGATGGAGCTGGCGATCTTGATACCGAGCCCATCAACCTCGACAGTGATGATGACGACGCAATCACCACACCTTCTCGAACACTCGGAACATCCCCCCTGCAGTAAGTCTTTGACATATCTGGAAGAAGATCCAGTCAGGCTAACACTACGCAGGGCCGATGAACCTGATAATCTTGCTATTGACCCTCTCAACCTTCATGGTGACAACAACACACCCGCTGGACCTTCAGGACTGTCTCTGCAGTAAGTCTCCGACATCTCTTGGAAAAGTATTCATTCAAGCTAACATCACGCAGGGCGGATGGGCCTGGCGATCTCGGTGTCATCCCTTCGAACTTCAATGGTTCCGAAAGGGACTTCCATAAATTCATCAATGCAAGTCTTGAGAACGATGTGCCCAACACTGCGGGCGATTCTATGAATAAGCGGGAGTTTGATGAATTGATGGCTCTTATCCAAGGTAATGACTGGCTGAACCCAAATCTCACAGCGTGGCTGTTTACTAACGTCGTTCTCCTAGCCGATGTTGGATCTAATGGTGATGAAGCCAACACAAGCAGCCCAAACAACATTGAACGTACTGGAAGTGGGATGACCAGTACCGAAAGCGTTGAAACTGCTCAGCGTGTGCAGCCCAATGAGCCAGTTCCCAACCACTGGGGCAGCTCTGCTAGAATTGTTGACGTCACTGATGTCAGTAACCCCGAGGAATGGCCTGCTGATATGGATACCAAGAACCCATCGGTGGAATTCAGCACCCAGTCCTCATCAGAGCTGATCCACCCGAATTCCAACTACGCATTGCAGCAGGCTGTTGCCAGCGGCTCTTCACACAATGTGGGAGTCCACTACGGGCAGCAGAATCCTGGTAGTATGCTGTACACAAACTCTAATCTCTTCGGAGCTCCAGGTGCTTCTGCATTCGTAGATGGTAGCAATGTCGAGCGCTTGCCCATCGGGACTTGGAATTCCGTGGCGTCGAACCCCTTCATGGCTGCGGCTAACCCAGCATCAGATGGGCAGTTGCAGCCTTTGACTCCTCCTCAGATGACTCCTGCTCAGATGACTTCTCCTCAGACTCTTGGTCGCGCCCCGGACAACCCAATCCTCAGACAGGCAGTTGAAAACAACCGAAAGCGTAAGCATGAGGCGTCGAACGCTGTTGTTCCGAGGTATGCCACTTCCCAATAACATCAGACCAAGCAGAAATTAGTCAACGAGCTAACATCTCCATCCAGCAGTTCCAACACCGCAGCTAGTCACCCAGACATCGCTGCTGGAAGCTCAAGCTCCCTGGCTGATCGTCATGGTGAGCTTGAGCGCCCCGCGAAAAGATGCAAACTTAACAAGAAAGACTTGGAGGCGCTGAGGCCCAAACGCAAGAAGAAGAATGGAAAGGGGAAAGGTAAAGGGGGCCGAGGCGGCCGAGGCGGTCGAGGGTCAGAGTCGGAATCAGACACAACTTCTGAGCCGAAGCGCGTCAAGATTCAGAAGGCCAACTTTTGGAACTCCTTGGATCCCAACTCCCGCGGAGTCCGTCCCGGAAATTTTCCGGATATTGACAGACTTCTCAACCCAACCAGCGACATACCGCAGGCCACCATCTACGATTCCGCGAGTGAGGCGCGTGCTGACCACAAGACCGATACCGACGTCGAGAAAGACGACGACACCATCCCCAAGACGCATGCCGCCAAGAAGGCTATCGTGGTGGCGTTGGCCAATTTGATGATGGACAACTCTTGGGCACAAGACGGCAAGAGATCTTTTGGCACTTGGGACAACGCCTTCCACCCCAGGCATGTGCTAGAAAAAGCCGCGTGGGAGCTACTGGTAAGACTTTCTTCGGGCAATGCCAGATCCTTTGTAATCTTGCTGACGGTCCGACTCGCAGGAAGCGCTGATCCGGCGTAATACACAGGGCCCAGATCTCCTCTACTATGAATTTTTGAAGTTCTCGCTTCCCCCTAGGTGGTTGACTTTCAAAGAAAGGCTTTCGAAGGTGATGGAGGCCATGATCTACCACAAGGCTGTGGTCAAGCACCTTCTTGATCCTCCGTATCTGCATACTCTCGTGGAGGACCCGTTTGGCAGCATTCACCGCGTTCGCGACAATAGATACCTGAACGGTAAGAAGGCCAAGTTGCTTAAGGTGGCGGCGGAGGCCAAGAAAAAGGAGCAAGAGGAGGCTCGTAGAGCTCAATCTTTGGCCCAGGCGCCCGTTGAAGAGGGACCCGCCTCCGGCGACGAAGTGTACTCCGCGGACGACGAAGAATCCGCAGATGAGTCCATTGAACTGGAGAGCCCGCCTACCTCGCCTCCTCTCGCGACCGCGGGACCTTCCTCGAAGAAGGGAAATGCCTCCATCAAAGTCAACGGCAGCACTCTCAAGGCACCCGCGGCCAAGTCCGCTGTGCATAATGTCATCCCAGGCACCTTTGTTCCGGACGCAATGGGTCTTGACGATCTTGAAAACCTCATGGGAGAACCCTCTTATACTGCTGGAGCCAACGCGGACGCGCAGCCCCTGTTCCCCATCGCGGACCCCAACCCTCCCTTCCTGGCTACAGCCCCTACTGCGCACACTGCGATGCCCGGAGACCTCCAGGATCTCATGGACCCCTGGCTGGAAGATCTTGAATTCGTCCCTTTCGGGGCTCAGCCCATCCACCCAGCCTACGTTGATCCCGGCAACATGGCACAGGGCAGCAGCATTCAGCCAAACGTTCAGAACTTGAACGGCCCCAACCAGCACAACATGGCATCTCCTCCCCAGAGCAACATGCAGACCGTCAATCCTCGTATGATCATGGCGCAGAGCAGCCTCGTGCCGGCGGGCCGCACCATCCAACCCCCGCAGAACAACATGCAGAGCAGCCTCGTGCCGGCGAGCCGCGCCATCCAACCCCGCCAGCACGGACAGATGCAGAAAGCCATGGGCCAAGACGTTGCTAACCCGAACATGTTCGACTCCGACAACAGCACGAATGCATTGGGTCCTCTCCCGGACTATATGCTCCCCCTCCCCTTGATCGATGTGCACAAAAGGAATGCTGGCCCTACGATAATCCCCAACCAACAGGGCTGCGTCGATTTTCTGAACACAAGAGACGCTAGTTCCTTCGCATGGGTTGATCTCCCTAGGCCTACACGTGCTGCGCCTCAGAAGCCTGCCCCTCCGTCTCGTGCCGCTCTCGGTGAGCTTGCCCCATATGAGCTTGCTAGGGTTCAGGGTGTCTTTGAGGATTGGAACAAAAAGAGGAACAAGCGCAAGCAGGCGGACGCTGGCATTCAGGATGATGTTCAGCCGTGCAAGCGCAAGCCATAGCTTACTGCTTCCATATGGTACACCAACGTACATACAATCCAGTACATCTTGGTGCTTGGATTTCGGTCTTTTCTTTTTGTCGTCTTTGCTTTTCGGCTTGTGGTTTTGAGGACTTACGCTTTTGAGATTGTGGTTCAGGTTTTGAGATTGCGGTTTCAGGTTTCGCGGTTGTGGTTTTGATCTTTGGTTTCGTTGCTTGCTTTTCGGTTTCGCTGCTTGCTATTCAGTCTCTGCTTCTTGCGTTGCTTTCTTGCTTTTCTCAGGTTTCAGGTGTTTCGTTGCTTGCTATCCAGTTTCTGCTTGCTTGCCTTTTTGATTTTCTCGGGTTCTAGGAGTTTGGTGGTTATGCGTTGCGCTTTGTTGTTTTGCTTCTTTGCTTTTGTAAACAGGCAGGCCTGTTCGTCCCATGGTGGATGGGAGGGGAGAGTCTCGAACCGTGGGAGCTGCAAGTTTGGCTCAAGACTACCCATCCACCATGGGACGGACGGGCCTTCTTGAGAACGAGGAATGATAGGTGCTCCATTTGAATGTGATTTTTACTCTATTTTTATCTTTTGTGTCTTGGACACAAACCCGCGACGACGCCCAGCTTGTAAAGGTTTCCTGAATACAAGAACGATCGCTACGAGGATGGCGCCAAGGGGTTTCTGTGTATGATGCAAGGCCCATCGGCAGCGATGTACAGATGACAAGCCTTTCCGGCACGAAAGTACGGTTTTTTTTTTTTTTTCGCTCGTGTTTTCCTTCCTGCTCCCAAATTGAAATTGCAGAGATACCTTTTGTTGTTATTTTTTTTTTCGTTTTTGATGCAATTATTATTTAATGCAAAGCTGACAAACCCCACTCTCCGCGCCGCTGCGTAGATCTGGCCCTGGCCCTGGTTTTAGCTCTTCAGCTAAGATCCGACCAGAATCCGACTCGTTAGTACAACACCCAAGAATCTACTGAGTAGCACCAGGAGCAGAAGCAGGCACGATCCCAAACCGCTCGTAGGGGAAATCCTCCAGCGAGGACAGCAAGACCCCCCACCCATCGCCCAACTTCCCCGGCGTGCCATTCCCATTATCCTGGCGCTGGCCCTCGCGCTCCGCGACCAACTCCTCGGCCTCCTTCTCGGCCTCCCCCTTCTCCTCCTCCTTATGCTCCCCCGTCAGCCCCGCCAACACCTCCTCCTCGCGCCCGGCATACGCCTCCAGCAGCCCGGGATGCGGCACCCAAACCACCTGCATCCCCGCGCGCCGCCCGGCCTCGACGCCGGGCACCGCATCCTCAAACACCAAACACTCGGCGGGCGTGATTTCCCTCTCCCCGCGGGCCCGCAACCCGGCATTGATCGTCTCCAGCGCGAGCAGATAGATATCCGGAAGGGGTTTCCCGCGCCCCCGCCCGATGCGCGGATCGTCGCCCAGGACGCGCTGGTGCTCCGGGAAGGCGGCGAACAACTGGCCCAGGTGGGAGGACTTGAGGTGAAAGTTTCGGGCGTGTGAGGAGGTGGCCAGCGCGATGTGGACGGGGGATGCGGTGGATTGCGTGGCGACCAGCGTCTCCAGCAGGTGTTTTACGCCGGGCAGCGGCTTGGTGGTGGGGAAGCGCGCGAGTTGCAGCGCGGTGATTTTGGCGATGTATTCGTCTTGCGTGATCGGGAGTTGCGCCCAGTCGTGGAAGATCCGGCCTGCCTTTTGGGGGGTGGATGGGCATGGGGGTTAGTTTTGTTTGTTGTTGTTTTTTGGGGGTAGGGGAAAGGGGGATAGGACAAGGGGGGGCTTACCTCCGGGGCAGGACGGCCCTGCAGCTGGGCCTTGATCGACCACGGAAGTAACGGTTTGCCGTACTCCTGCAGCACCGTGTTGGTGATCTCGGTGTAGATGTCCTCCGAGTCGATGAGGAGGCCGTCCATGTCGAAGAGACATGCCCGCACGCGGGGTAATCTTCATATCGCCAGTCAGTCCAATTGGTAGGAGGGAATACGGCAGTGTGATAGCTGACTTACTCAGGGGTGGATGCAGACATGGTGGACGGGAGTGTGCTGGTTTCCGCAAAAGCAATGCTGAAAGTCACAAGGCAGCAGTCAAAGAAATGGAGTTGAGTTGAGGTGGACAGTCGATTTCTCCGCACTTGCGACAATTAATTCGATATCGGCTATCGATAGCGGGGGGGGAAGGAAGCGTTGGTGCCTCAGGCTGGCACTGCTGGTCTCAGCCCCGCCGGCCGACCGCCGCCGCGGGACCGCCCATCTCCAAGCTCAAGCTTGCTCGAGGATTGGAATCGGAAGAACCCCTGCTCAGCTCTGCACCGTCCACAAAATGTCAAAAGACGAGAAGAGGGCAAGCGCCAGCGACAGCGAGGACGAAGAGGACGTCTTCCACGACGCCCGCTTCCCCGCCGACGAGGAGACGGTAAGTATAGCCACCACCACCACCACCACCACCACCACCATCACACCCAGTCCTAACAGACTTGAATCCTAGAAACTCCTCGAAGAATCCCGCTCCCTCAAAGCCGAAGCCAACCAGCTCTTCACAGCCGCCAGCTACGACGAAGCCATCACCTGCTACGACCGCGCCCTGGCCTCCTGCCCCAACTACCTCGACTACGAAGTCGCCGTGCTGCGCAGCAACATGGCCGCCTGCTACCTGAAGCTGGAGGACTGGAAGGCCTCCGTGGACGCGGCGACGACGTGTCTCGACCGGCTGGACAAAGTGCTTCCCCCAACGACGAGTACAAGCACGGAGGCAACGAGTCGGGAAGGCAATAGTCCCGGAACAGCGACGGAGGAAGCAGTCGTCGAGATCACCGGGGACGACCAGGAGGCAGAGGAGGCCCAGCTCCAGCGGCTGCAGCAGCGGGACCAGACGAAGCGCGACGTGCTGCGGATCCGCGCGAAGGCGCTGATGCGCCGCGCGCGCGCCCGGATGCGGCTGGGCGGCTGGGCCAACCTGCAAGGCGCCGAGGAGGACTACAAGGCGCTGGCGGCCATGGATAACCTACCCCCGGACGACAGGCGCGTGGTGCAGAAGGGGTTGCGGGAGCTGCCGGACCGGATCGCCCAGGCCCGCGAGAAGGATATGGCCGAGATGATGGGCAAGCTGAAAGATGTAAGTCGGCGCCCGTTGGCCTTGTTCCATGTGGGTACTAATTGGAGTGATTCAGCTGGGAAATGGGATCCTGAAGCCCTTTGGTCTCTCCACGGAGAATTTCAAGTTTGTCCAGGACCCCAAGACCGGCGGGTACAGCATGAACTTCCAGTCTGGTTGACATCTCCCTGAGTGGGCGGTAAATAATGACACTACGCATGTGGAGTTGGGATGCATTTTTCGAGCGAAAGCAATAGAGTAATTTTTTAGGATGAGGTATAATTTTATGTGTTAAGGGGCTGTTTACAGCGGCGGTCGTTCAATTACTGTCCTGCAGTGAACATGGTAGCGATTCTCGAAAGACCATCAAGAGAGACCTTGTCACCGAGGTCGAAGATTGTGGATCGACGTTGGCTTTTTCCACCGAAAGGTCGTTGGACTTGCTGGGTCGCAGGCTCTTGAGAGCTGGGGCCATAGACTCGAGCAGTAAACCCGCCCTCAAGGTCTCCACCAACAACTGGGGGCCACGGCTGGATGCCATGGCAGAACTTGAAAAAGTCTTCTGCAATTGCAGAGCTTACTTTTTGCTGTGCAGGCGACATAAACTCACGGAAGTTCTGGAAGAGGTAGGCAAGGTCTAGAATGTGCCCAGCTCGGCCTTTCCAAGCGCCATCCCATGGGTTGCCTTCGTTAAAATAGTAGACAAATGCGCGTCCCTTCCAGCCTTTTGCAGATGCCAATGAAGGGGCGAACATCCAAACGTCATTCAAGAACTCGAGGATCGCAAGAAACGCATCCCCGTCATCTAAGTCCTGAGTTATGCCGTACCTGACCGAGATCTGTTCTGCGACTTCTGGTTGCGTGGCAAGGACGGTTGTAAGACACCCGAAGAAACGCTCGGCGCATCCGTTCTTGAGATCAGACCTAATAGCGTGGATGATATTGGCCTGTCGGTTCAGCATGGGCAACATCGGACTGGATTAAGATTGTCACTTACATCAATCTGGGCATCGCCAACCATCAAGTCCTGGCACCAGTCCTTGCCTTTGGGGATGTGGTTGGTTTTATCCGCCAGCTGTGAGTAAGTTATTGCGGACGGAACCAGATCTCCGTCCACTGCAAATGTCGGAGTTATGGACGGAGGGACCTTCGCGACCAAGTCCTCGCCAGGAGACTTCAGCAAGGCTTCAATGCGTTCCTCTGGTGAGGCACCCGCCAAGCCCAATGCTGCCATTGCTTGTTTATAGCTTTGCTCATGATTCTCGTAGGGTAGGCTAGGCGAGAAGAAACGATTCCCGCTCATCAAGATAGCTCGTTTGAAAAGAGGCGTTTCCGACTCAAGATGACAGGCGACCGATGCTGCGACACTCAGTCAACTCTGCCAACACCACCCAGACGTCAAGTACAGTACATACCAGCGCCGGCGCTCATCCCAGCAAGAGTGATATTGTCCGGATCCCCGCCAAAGTCACCGATGTGCCTGCGCACCCACTCCAGAGCGACCCGCTGGTCTCGCAGGCCATTGTTCGCTTTGTAGCCGGCGTTCCTCAGCTCCTCTGAGGTTATGAACCCGAACATGCCCAGTCGATAGCTTTGCCAGTTAGCACACACGCATCTTCCCACTGACCAGCTAACAAACATACTTGATGGACACCGCGACAATAGGCAGCCCGTTCGACACAGACAGCGCAACCAGTCGCTCGAGCTCAAACTGCGGCCAGGAATTGGCCCCGATGAACAGCCCGCTGCCGTGGATGAAAACAAAGACCGGCAGACGAGCATCGGTCGTGGTGTCGCTTGGAGTCGCAATGTTCAAGTTCAGGCAGTCGACGTCGGATTGGGGAAGAGGCTTCTGGGGCAGGGTATGCTGGACGATGCTGAGCTCCAGGTCGCATCCGAACGACGGGGACAGTGTCGTCGGGCTTGAGCAGTCGTTGCTGGTCAGTCTTCCACACGAATCAAGTCATTGGTCCGAAGTGACTTACCCATCTTTGGTCGCGTCGAGCACCTCCCCGTCGCGAGTTTCAATGAGTTGGGCGTCTGCAAGTCTGTCGCTGAGCGTGGCATACTTGATGCCTAGGAATTGGGTTACTTTGTTGCTATCGCGCCCGCGGATCTTGCCCAGGTTCTGCGTTAGAAGGATCGTCATGGTGGAAGGGTGACGCTGGGGAGATGCAATGAGTGAGTCTGGCGAAGGTCGCAAGTCTGTCTGAAGTAAAGAAACCCCCCGCACGGAAATCCCCCAGGCCGTACAGGCCCCGCAATCTCGGTGGGTCTCGCATTGCATCCGCGGCAGTTGCGGGGGAAGAAGGTGAGGCAGTTGTCATCGTTCTTTAGATTGCAGTTTCCATGTGGAAAATGTCCACGGGTTATCGCGGAGCGCGTATGTGCTGGGTTCCCGAGGGATTGACAGTTTTTATTCGAAGGGGTGACAAGATTTTCACCTATCCCAATTGGTCTCTCTAGTAGTTTGTCATTATTTATGATGTTTGCTTATAGTACTAGAAGGCCTACTTGACTTGCTCAAACTACTTTGCTTACTCAATATATGACTTGAACATATTTGTATAAGATTCTTGCAGAGATCACATTATTTATAGAAACTATCTTAGAGAAGCCATTTTGCTTACAGGATCACCTCGTTCGTAGACACCACTTTACTCATATAAATTCGGGATTGTTGAAGCAGTAGAAAGACGCTTGACTGGCCTGTGGAAAAGATACCACCAAACTACGAATCCAGCCACCACTCCAACCCAGGTCGCAACTTCCTCCGCTGCAATCCAACCCAGGAACAGTAAACTTATCAACAACCAGAAGAAAGACACCTGCAATGACCAACAAAGACCTCAATCAATCACACCCCGCCTCATTGACCTATTCTTATCAACCATCACTCCTTGCTTATATCAAGCCAGTCTACCGAAACACTCTATTCGATGTCAATGTCAAGCAACACCCCGACCCAGAGGGAACCCACACCAACCAAGGTTGACCCCTACATCCCCGCGGACCCCGCCGAGCCAAGGTAAGCATCCACTCTTCCTTACTCACCAGAAACAAACAACTGACCCCGCCAAGCGAATTGCCTTATCATGTAGGCCAAGAGATCAAACTCCACCCCACGAGCCCCCGCGCCGACCAGGTCACCGCCATGCACGCCAGAGTCCTCGACGTGTACGGAGTCGAGAACCAGATGGCCTGTGTGCTGCTGATCGACGTGGACCCGCCGCTGGGGAAGATGACCTCGCCGATATTTCTGAAGCTGTTCGACCGACGCTGCGCGGGCGAGGCCCGGACCCAGAGGCTGGGCCGCCGGAAGACCGACGCCGCGCACTGGGCGGCGGCGGTCGAGCGGGACTACCACGAATACCTCTGCCAGCAGGAAAGCCACATCGCGGTGGACCTCCTCTCGCAGAACGAGAACCCGCGCTTCCAGCACCTGAGCTGGGCGCCCGCGCACAAGGAGATCTACCTCGAGGGGCTCGTGCAGCGGAGCCTGGCGAACGAATTGGCCGTCTGGCACCGCCTGCGTCTGCTGGAGGGCAAGATCATCCCGCGATTCTACGGCGGCGTCTTGGCGACGTGGGAGGTCAGCGTGGACGACGCGGGATTCACCAAGACAGGCACGTGTCATGGGTATCTGCAGCAGATTCTTCACGGGTGCTCGTTCTGCGATCTGTGTGAGAAGTTGCCGGAGAGGCTCTGGGGTACCGCCTGCGACGATGTCCTGCACATAGTGCGGACGATTCAGGATTGGGGCGTGCGGACGGATCGGCTCAGTCTGAAGGACTTTGACGTGTGCTATATCACGGACTCGGATGAGGATGCCGACGAGAGCAGCGCCCCCTTTTATCGAGTGTTTCTAGTCGACCTCAGATCCTGTGTGAATCGGAGCTCCCGCGAGAGTGACTATGCATGGAAACAGCGTATTGCTTGGGCGGATGAGGAGGGCGCTATCGCGCGAGACTTGGAGTTGCTCACGGGTCATGCGTGGACATATCATCGCTCGAAAGGTTCTGGTGAGCT